TTTTCAGTCACGCGGCAAGTGCGACAGTATTAGCGTTGCAAGGAGGTGGCGCAAATAGCATTCGCACCAGGACCCATCCGCTCAACATAGTAGGGCTACGGCGCGTCGACTCGTTCAGCGTCTGCGTCTCCTAAGTGAAATACTCTCCTTGTACGCACGATGCTGCGACTGGGAAAGAACGATCTACACCCAATCGTTGAGCTAGAAAATGGTATGTGACAAGACAATTGCAATATGCACTTGGTCGCGGTTCGCCGAGCGACGTCGCGCTCGACAGAGGTGTTGTCTTGCTTGGCTGTCTGAGTTCGAGGGCTGAAAGGATGGGAAAGCTTTGTATCGCCCGCGATGGAGTCTTGCCTCCCCTTGGTACTAGTTTAGCCGCATGAAGCGCCGCGCGCCACGACCGACACATTACGATTGTCCTGTCCGTTTCCCCTTAGCGAGGCCTCCTCAGTCAACTTGTGGAAACTTGTAAACTCCTGTAAAGCTGAGGTAACCATACACCAACATGAGACATGGTGAAGAAACTGGCGAACCTAAATGCTCCCCCCCCCTCCCCTCGACAAGGCGAACAGCTCCGAGAAACGTGTCAAACTGACCTCGAGAAACGATTTCAAGCCGTCGATGGTCACCATGTTCGAGATGCGGATTACGAAGTCAGTAGCAGTGATCTGTGCGAGAATACTGTCGTCTATTGGAACAGGAAGACCATAAATTATTTCAGAGATTAAATAGAAGCGCTGTCTCGTTACAATAAATTGAAGAACTTCTGGACTCAATGAATGCCGAGAGAGGTAGTCATATAAGCCTATATAGATTCCTGTAGGCTCAGCGGCGCGAATGAATCGCAGAAGTACAGCAGACTTAACGGTATCTAGAGAGTCGACTTCCATTTCCAGTTTCTGCACACGGCAGTTTGCATCCAATAAACATGACGCCAATAACGACAGAAAATGGTCTGTGAGACGCCCCTGAAATTACAACAAGGGATCAAGCATCCGCAAAAACAAACTGTTACTCTCACCTCTGTGGATACTGGTTTTTGCCGAGTAGAGGGAGGGTGAGCAAGTACGCAGCCGCAGTGAGGTGCTTTCTCCGGTCAAAAGTGTCGCACGGCTAGCCGCATGCCTAACCATAACCAATATTTGTCTGCGGCATGTCACTTCTAGTTCTCTCTACCGCTGAATACTGTTTCCGCTGTGAAACCCTTGTCTTGTCGCAAATTCATACTGCCCCTAGGAGAGGACAACGCGGGCGCAGGGTCTCAGGATATCTGTCGACCACGGAGCTTTGCTCTGCCTTTCTTTCCTTCATCCTTCCCTATTTTCCTTCCTCTGAATGCTCGGACAGAAGATGAGATGGGAAAACATCTCTGGAACCTCACAGCGAGAGAGCATCCGGTTGACAGATGCCTTGTAACCCGGGCGCAGCCGGAGGAGTGTATGCGGGTATTTCTAAGGTAGCGCAAAATTAGCAGCGAAATTTAGTAGCATCAATTCAATATTCAATTTAGCATTGGAGTGCGAGCGAAACGCTGCTTACCTTTGAGCTCCGTTCTCATGTTCTTTTGAGCCGAGAAAGTAACATGATACTGCAGCTGCGGACCCGTTCAACTTGCACTTGGAAAAGGTCCACTCAAGAGGTGAGGGTACAGCTTATCTTTGACACTGATAGTCGATTATTTCAATATTTCATGTTTTTCCCCATGGACGGGTTCTCCACAGCTCAAAGTTTCGCTTCCCATAAGGCAGGCTTGCTGACTACTTTGCGCTATTGCTTGTTGACTTGGTGTCCTCTTACAGTATCCCCTCCCCCCTTCGATCTAACGGTGCAGTGCTCTGTATAAGCGCGAACGATAGCACTGGTAACCCATGAAAAAATTTCGCCAAATCGGAATAAGTAAATGGATTTTAACAGCGTCTTATAATTTGGTTATTTATAAAACGAGAGCTCCTAGGGCTTGAAAGGTTTGAAAGCAAAGGAATTCTGCCCCTTCCAAGTACAAATTCATCCCGTCCATCCATCCAAGTACAAATTCATCCTTATTTGTAGTCCAATACGAATCGAGTTATTTATATGGTTCAGCAAATATGGGAAGACGACCTCTACTAGACCTCCCCGTAGCGTTATTTGACTACCAAAATCACATATCACATACAGGCAGCGTCGATTAAATAGGAGCATTTTCGATTAAATAGGAGCATTTTGCAACTCTTGCAAAGCTATGTGATAGCATGAGTTTCCTTTACACTTGACAGGAGTGTAAAGGCCGCACTACGGTGAGACGTCGACGTAACGGGAACTAGTAAAAAAAATTAGCAAGAGCAAGATAGAGAAGCGCTATCCCCCCCCCCCTTCGGCCAAGTCGAACAGCGATTGAATTATGCTCTACCGACCACTGTGATCCACAGGTATTTAACAACAGCGTCCTTGAGCAACTTGCTGAGGCATCTCGAAATCAGCGAAAAAGTTGAATCAATACGATGTTCAGGATGATGTGGCTTGACGGCTGGTCTCCTAGGAAGCCTCTTGAATCGTCCTCGATCTTTCACCTGAAAAGAATAGATCAGTTTATTTTGTTTCCTGGCAAATGCTTTACTGCTTTTTCATATCTTTAATCGGAACAGATAAGAGTGAATCTCTTAAAATTATTTACCGAACGGGGGGTTAATGTGATCGGATAGTAACCTACCAAGTCATCAATATCTACTTCTTCTTCATCGCATTTCACCTTGACAACGAATTTGTAATCGTTAGAAAGGCACTGTAATTTCACATGTGTTAGCCAAACATTCGTAGAGAACTAGCAGTGTTTCATCCACGTTATATCCCGGTTAAGGCGAGGGCGCGGCTGCGTACCTCATTAAAGGCAGAACCCGCGATTATTCGCCACCTCAGATAGTGGATTAGGGGTTCCATATAGACGACAAGGGGTTGAGTAACTCGACAGTGAAGAAAAAAGCACAAAAAACATGCCACCTGCCCTAGATAGAACCCCATTTTGATCCCAGTTTGTACGTGCCCAATGAACTCCATCTTCAACACTACGCCCTCATCTGCACAGCTGATTCCCCGATAAGAACTCTACGACCGTACAAGTGACGATTCATGCTTTTTCGTCCTGCAGCTTCGTTTTCACTGAAAGGCGGGCCTTGAAGGCGGAGTCTGGAGGCGGAGTCACTGGAAAAAAGGAGGCGTCACTGAACCTATATTGCGCTATAGCGCCCCTCCCTTAGAATTTTTTGCCGCGAAACCGGTACAAGGTTGTTCGTCGCGGACCACTCTAACCTCCTGACGCCATATTTTCAACTTCGATACCTGATCGCGGACCGTGCCTTTAAAACATGGCGTGGGACGGAGGATCAGAGGATCATTCTACTGTAGGCCTCACCCTGCCCTGTGCTGGACAAAGCCTTTATTGCCCCAAAAGTACGGCATCCCACCAAAAAGTGTAGCCCTAGCCGGTTCAAATAAAGTACACAGCTACCACTCTTCAGATCAATAGTATACAGAAAACAATGCTCCATATGCGTAAATTCCTTGTTCGCGTTCAAAAATAGGCAAAGTTCGGCAACGGGGGGGGGGGGGGATATCCGCACTTCCGCTGCTTCACTAGTTCTGATTCACCAATTTTCACTCCGGTGATACCTGAGAACTCCTGTGAAGTTCGAGCAAGCTCCTCGAGCCACCAAAGTGAAACTGTCAACTCTTGTAAGCCCATGAAATGGATTTCTAGATGGGTCGACCTTTCGTTGGGAAGTAGCAAATGTGCAGAATGTCCCCCCGTCGCCGAACTGCCCCGGCAGAAGAGGTAAACAGAGCAGTGCATCAGCGCCAGCCAGTGATTTCAGATGGAGCAACGTAGGTAACTGACCTCACGTATCACCAACTTATCAATAACTCTTCTTTTCATTAGCCGCTCGTTGTGTTGAACAATT